TGTTCAATCTGCCTAAGTGTATTCTAGGGGGTGTAAGTAAATGGATCTAAGAAGAACCCAAATTTTAGTTTCCTATCTTTCTCCTCTGCCTTCTCGACAACAAAAAAGAGGTTTATATAGAAGAACCAAGTTTTCTTTCGAAATAGCATGAAAATTAAAAAGGAAAAATCAGCATACAAAATTTATATTTTGAATTTTTTATTTTAAATGATTTGCCTTTTCCAGTGTTTGAATTTGACAGGAATAATCGAGTCAATTAGAAATTTATGGAACTTCATTTTTGGTGAAGGTACGAGTTTTTTTTAAAATTATGTGTTGCGTTCTTTAATAATTTAGACTAATCTATAACTGAATACTTTTACTACGTTTGTTTGTCAAGAAAATGGAGGGGAAAAGGAATTAAAATTTTCATTCTGATGTCGATTGGGTAACCAGTATTTGAATAACTTCACTCAATTCAAGCCAGAAGTGTGAATTAAGATATGTTAATTTTGGAAGGTATTAAACAATGAAATTCCAATTGATTCAGATTTTGATTCTATTTTCTCTTCCCACGTTTTACTAGCAATCAAACTGAAGGTTAATTATAATTTTAGTTTTGTTAAGTTTAGTTTTGTTTAATCTCTAGTCCTATGACATTAGGACAAATCTTCGCAAGCATAAATGCTAATTGTTAATAACCTAATTTCTCTAATTCTCACTACACTCAAGTTGCATGAGTTTTGTCACTGTAATTGCATGAAACATAACGATGATAAACATATGACAACTAATATATATATATATATATATATATATATATATATATATTGAAATAAAAATAAATAAATAAATGAGAATCTAAATGGAGTCATCATGATTTGTGAATGATCGTTGGTCATATATATAATATAAAGTTGTCTTACTTAAATATTAATTTACTTTATGGATTATTAATTATCTATATTTGCTTTATTTTCAGTATGAATATTATACATTGTAAATTGATCTATGGGAGGAAATTAAATTTAGATTAGAATAACCCAAAATTTGGTTTCTTATCCTTCTCCTCTACAACAAAAAAAGAGAGAGGTTTATATGGAAGAACCGAGTTTCCAAAATAGCGTGAAAATTAAAAAGGAAAAATCAGCATACAAAATTTATATGCTGAATTTTTGATTCTAACTGATTTGTCTTTTCCAGTATAATGATATACTATGTAGAAATAAGTGTGATTTTTTAGAGAGAGAGCGTTAGGGTTTATGAAGAGGAAAACAGAGAAAGAAAGGGTGAATACCTGAAAATACAGCCGCAAGACAGGGACGAATTGATGCCTGAAAAACCTAATACCCAGTATGCTATTTTGAGATACATAATGACGAGAGAGGGACATGGCGTACGGTGACGAGGGAGGGAGGCTCTGAAGTTTTTTTCTGTTTTTTTTTTTTTTTTTTTTTTTTTTTTTTTTTTTTGTAACGTCGTTCCTTTTTCCGTTGGACTCTACAGTTACCAATTTAAAAACAATTTCTTTTTTCGCTACAGCATGGGTACAGCATGACCCATTTACAGTAGAGGATCCTAGTCCTGAATGGAATTGGCCCCATGTAGGCCTCACACACAATAATAATATCTACTCCATTTAATGAATGAGACCATATATAGTTACAACAATCTCTCTTAATAATAATAACAAGACATCAATGCAATTACAGCCATCTTGCAGCATCCGACAATTTCTTTGACTAATCATAAGCTTAGAACTATTGCTAGCAATTATAACTGTGTATAATAATACGGTGATACGCTAACTATTGTTAGCAATTATGATTGTGTATAATAATACGGTGATACGTAAAATCATTCAAGATTTCATATATGAATTAAGTAATTTTTCTCAACCAATACCTTCAAGCATTCATTCAGTGATAAAGCATGTCTGATATAGGATCTAAATAAACTAGTGACATTATATGGTGGAACAAATTATTTCATTTCAACGAAGTGAGAAAGATCTCAAAAAATTAGCCAATTATATCATGTATCAGGAGTAAAAAATATAGTGATACTATAACACGGAACCAAGAAATAAAATTATAGCATGTCTGATGAAGGTAAAAATCGTGATACTATATTACGGATCCAATTATAACATATTTCATGAAAAAAGTATATTTATTTTAGTAAGTCATAATATTACGTAATAATATTTAACTTCTTTACCTAAATACATTTATATCAAGCAGACATCCTTGGCTAATAACAGATACATATTTTTCAATAAGTCGGTCAATACAATGACTAAGAGCGAAGGGTCGAACTGAAAAATCTATTGGAAGATTCAATGGCAACATCGTTTTAGATATTTTGTTTGGTTATGATGGGCTGATGAAAAATCTATTGGAAGATTCAATGGCAATTGTAATGAATATATGTGTGTGTATATATATATCTAGTGATTAATATATGAGACTAACTTTGACACACATAGAGAGAGGGAGATAGAGAGAGAGAGAGAAAACTGATTGCCTTTTTTCTTCATACCATCATTTGCATACACATTAGCCTATTTATAGGCATGTTCAGGCGTAGGCAACAAGCAGTTTTCAACTTATCAAACAAGCTTTCATTCTTAGATACATATATCTATATAACTCGTAGGCAATAAGCAGCTTATCAAACAAGCTACTTTGTCATTCATTACCAGTGGACCCCACATATATATGTAACACTCCCCTTTGGGGTCCACTGTACTATACTAAAAATATGCCTCGTTAAAACCTTACTAAGGAAAGTGGAAAAAACCCTAGTGAAGGAAAAAGAGTACAGTATTCTTATGTATGGTATTGTATAGGTTAAAACTGTCTCATTAAAACATTGCCAGGAAAATCCAGTAGGATAAAACCTGGATGAAGGAAAAAGAGTACAGTATGCTAATACCTCTTTGATCAATGGCTCCCCCTCATTAGTTCAACCCTGAAGATCCTTTAGTTGACGCATTCCAATGTTGTCCACTAACTTCTTGAATGTTGTAGTTGGAAGCGCTTTAGTGAATAAATTTACTAGATTATCACTAGAGCGTATCTGCCAAACATCGATATCACGACTCTTCTGGAACTCGTGTGTGGAAAAGAATTTTGGTGAAATGTGTTTGGTTCTGTCACTTTTTATGTATCCTCCTCTTACCTGTGCAATACATGCTATATTATCTTTATATAATATTGTTAGACTATCTTTGATTGAGGAGAGTCCACATGATTCTCGAATATGTTGTATAATAGATCTCAACCAAACACACTCTCTACCTGCTTCATGAATTGCGAGTATCTCAGAGTGATTTGAGGAAGTTACAGTCATGGTCTATTTTATAGATCGCTATGATATAGCAGTATCACCACAAGTAAACAAGTACCCTGTTTGTGATCGGGCTGTATGTGGGTTAGATAGATAACCTACATCTGCATATCCGATCAATTGGGGCTTTGATTTTCTTGAATAAAACAACCCCATATCAGTCGTTCCCCGAAGGTAACGCATAATGTGTTTGACCCCATTCTAATGTCTTTGAGTTGGTCCAAAACTATACCATGCTAATAAGTTGACTGCAAATGATATATCAGGTCTGGTACAATTTGCAAGGTATATTAGAGCACCGATTGCACTAAGATATGGTACTTCAGGACCAAGAACTTCTTCGCCTTCTTCCAGAGGACGAAAAGGATCTTTTTTAACATTAAGTGATCGGACAATCATTAGAGAACTCAAGGGGTGAGCTTTATCCATATAAAAGCACTTCAGGACTTTTTCAGTGTATGTTAACTGATAGATAAGAATTCCACTTGGTAAATGTTTGATCTATAGGTCGAGACAAAATTTTGTTCTATCAAGATCTTTCATTTCGAATTCTTTCTTTAAATAATTAGCAATCGTGGTGAGTTCTTCAAGAGTTCCCACAAGATTTAGATCGTCAACATATACAACTATAATGGCAAATCCAGATTTTGATTTCTTGATATAAATACATGGACAAACTTGATTATTCACATATCCTTCTTTTAGTAAATACTCACTGAGTCGATTGTACCACATGTGTCCGGATTATTTCAATCCGTACAAGGATTGTTGTAGCCTGATAGAATACATGGTACGTGGTTTCAAGCTATTTGCTTCAGGCATTTTAAATCCTTCAGGGATTTTCATATATATATATATATATATATATATATATATCACTATCTAGTGATCTATATAAATAAGCTGTAACCACGTCCATTAGACGCATATCTAATGCTTTTGAGACTGTGAAATTGATCAAGAAGCGAAATGTGATTGCATCCATCACAGGAGAGTATGTCTCCTTATAATCAATACCAGGTCTCTGTAAGAAACCTTGGGCTACAAGTCGGGCTTTGTATCTTATAATTTCATTTTTCTCATTATATTTCCTTACAAATACCCATTTGTACCCTACAGGCATGACATCTTCAAGTGTTTGGACTACAGGTCCAAAAACTTCACGTTTTGCTAATGAGTTTAGCTTTGCCTGTATTGCTTCTTTCCATTTTGGCCAATCATTTCTATATCGACATTCTTCGATGTTCTGAGGTTTAGGATCCTCATTATCACCTACAATATCAAGAGCAACTGCAAAGGAGAATATATCGCTAATAACAACTGTATTTCTATCCCTTAATTCTCTATAGTTTATTGAGATCTCATTATTTTCAGGTACCAGTGCCTCTTCCCACTACAACAGTTTCAGCTTTTACCAGCGCTCAAAAACGCTGGTAAAAGCCTTAAAAAGCACTGGTAGTTCAATTACCAGCGCTTTACCAGCGCTTCTGAAAAAGCGCTGGTAAATCCAGTGTCGGTAGGGCTTTACCAGCGCTTTTAGAAAAACGCTGGCATAAGGTATTTACCAGCGCTTTTTATAAAAGCGCTGGTAAAGGGTCACCATTTTTTATTTTTTATTTTTATTTATTTATTTATTTTTTTAAAAAGAAAAAGTAACCCACCAGCGCTCCTTAAGGAGCGCTAGTGATTACCTTTTTTTTTTTTTTTGGTGGTGGTTTTGGTTTTGGTTTTTTTTTTTTCTTTTCCTAAAGAAACCCATTTATAATACATGTTTATTTATAAAAACAATTATCATCCAAATGTCTACCGATTAACCTGCCAAATATGAAAATAACATCCAAATTGCATGTCTACTAATAGATAATGTTGTACTGAACACCAAGTTTTTACAAAAGAACTATACACAAAATGAAAAGAATTTTTCACAAAAGTAGTAAACACAACCATGACCCCATCTTCAAACTTTCTTTGTTCTAGCTTCAACTTCATCTTCAAACTTCTCTAAAAACACTTCTTTTTTAAAACTGTTCGCCCTTACAATGTACACCTGGAAAGAGAATTTGAATTAATAGACATGTTTGTGCCAAACCATCTGATAGCTTCATTCAAAGATTGGTAAAACAAATATACACGAGGGACATTATTAGAAAAATTACCTCTAATCAACGGGCAGAAGAGCAATCTCAATTTCTTGGAGTGATTTTCCTTTCGTTTCCATCACATTCCTCTTCACAAAAACCACAGCTATCAAGCAAAAGGTAGCGAAGATTGTGTAGAGAACTTGTGCTCCAAGTTGCTCCAGCAGGCGCAGAAACAACAAACCGACAAAAAAATTATTAACTGTTGAAGATGCCAATTTCTATAAGCAGGGAATAATCAGAAGTTGAAGATATTGAAAAAGACACAGAATTCATCCAAACCATATGCGTCATCAAGCTATATATAAAAGAGTAAATTAAGAACTTGCAGATTTAGCTAAATTAAGAACTTGGTTACAAGGTTATAAATTAAGAAGGTTACAAGGTTATATTATTATTTTTATATAAGCTATCTTTATTTTATTAATAGGATAACAGGTCTAATATTAATTTGTTTTGAATATACATATTTTTATTTTTTTTAAATAAAAGTAATATAAGAAAATAAATAAATAATCTTCTAAGACATTTAGGGAGAGATATTTACCATAAAATAATTGCAAATTTTTCACTCTAAAATTGCAAACCTCATTTCTACTCTACTCCATTTTTTTTCATTAGGATTTGAGTTGATATCTCTTATCAGGTTATATTAGACAAACAAGGCAAGTTCTAGTGGAGAACTTGGGGTTCATCTAATTTCAACTTTGGAAATCTAACCTGGGTTTTCTAAAATGTTTTATAGATGTCAAACATGTTCCGGTAAAATGCAACACCAAAAGAAATTGAGTAATGATATAAAAACCGATTGATTTGCGTTAACATTCCTATGAAATAGAGTCCAACAAGGAACTGTTATAGTTTCTCACACAGTGGTACCTACAGGCTTGCAAGTCTTAGCCCAATGTCTAAAACCTTATCCATTCATCCCACTAAATCTCTCTCTCTCTCTCACACACACACACAGTGTCTGCAGGTAGCATGATGTTTATATACTCAAAACTCTTTCTGGCTTGGCGAGGAAAGCTATAGCATTCACTGAGGTGTTTGCTGAACAATTTGTATTAAAGAGTAAAACATGAACCTTCATCTGAAATACAATCTTTACTAAAACATGCGTCGCAAAAATGCATTAATAGGCTATCGTGGTTGGTTCTTTCCTGCTGCCGTGCTTTAGGTTTATTCATAAATGATGCAGAAATTCATTGAACAACAACAGAAAAACATATAAATAGCATAATCATAAATTGAACTGAATTGCAAAAAGAGATCAACCAAACAGTTCCTCCTTATGTGTTTCTTGCCATAGTTCCTCAATCAGTGCTTTTGGTGCTGCAGTAGTAAAAATGAAGCAATGATACATAACAAGAAAGTAAAAGAACAAAGACCTGTGAAGTACCAAAATTAAGAACTTGCAGATTAAACAGCTTGTTGGCTTCATCTTACTAGGAAAGCCGGCCAGTGAACCTTTCACAATGTAAAATTGCTTGATAAATGAACAACTTCAGCCCAATAACACACTGGCTCCTGATTCTTGTGCTTCTTGCATGAGTCTGGTCCATTTTGGTGTGTAGATGGCATCAAACACTAAGGACTAATGACTTGAAGCTTTCTACCAAAAAAATAGTAATTATTAGTCAGTAAATTTGGTGGCTAATTTCAACACACACAAGAAGCTATACATAAGAACTTGCAGATTTAGGAGGTTAGATAATAACTGCCTATCGCATCAAGCTATATATAAAAGAGTAAATTTTCAACACACACAACACATATGCGTCATCAAGGTTATAGCCTCCACAAAAATTTGAAACTCAAAACATAGAAATATATATCAAAACATAGAACATTCTTCACAAAAATTATTTATGACAACACAGATAACTTTGGAACTTCAAATCTCCAAAGTTAGGGACACAACCTTTGACAAAATTTTCAGAAATAATTTTCAAACACAGCCCATCATCACTAACCATCCTCCTTTTTCAATATCACAGAATATATATCAAAGTATTCTTAAAATCGCAGTCCCAATGATCAAATACAGGTTCACAGTGATTTCTCAATTTTTCCATAGTCTTCATTATCTTAGTTTCATGCTTCACAATATTTGTAACATGGCAAAACATATATAAAATCTCACATAACTAAAATCTCGAATTCCCATTTCAAAATAAAATTCCAAAAATCTCCGAAACAGTTTAATTAACCCTTCCTTCAGAAATTTTCAAACATGAACTCATATATATATTTATATGAATGACAGGGGAAAGATGCTTACCCGAAAGATAGAGAGAGGAGCAAAGGAATCAAGAGAAAAATCCGAGAGAGAGACCAACCCGAGAACAATGAGATGACGGCCTGAGATTTGCCAGAGAAGATGATCAAAAATTGCAGCAGTGGATGGCGGCGAGATGAGAATGTTATCTCCTTGGCTGAGGGTCGGCCAGAGACGAAGCCGATGGAGAAGAGATGAGATCGAGAGCGAGAGGCCGAGGTTTGGCTAGAAATCTCGCCAAAAAACCCATAGTAGAGAGCTCGAACAAAGAGAGAGGGGTTGGCTTCAGTGGTGGTGTGAGGATATGGGGTGGAGTGATTGTGGTGGCTGTGGTGCAATAGGTTGAGAACGAGAATAGAGATGGAGGCGATTGGGGAGTTGCAGAGAGAAGGAGAGGGGGCAAGTTCAGAGTTGAGACTGAGAATAGAGATCTGGCGAATGGGAGGCTGAAGATAAACCTAGGGCTCGGATGAGATAAGGTTAGAGATGAGATAAGGTTAGAAGAAATAAATGGAAAATTAAAAAAATAAAAAAGTGAAATAATGTTAAAGCGCCAACTTTTCCCGCATTAAATTTCACACTATTAGCCCTATACCAACGCTCCTACTAAGAGCGCTGGTGTTAGTTCACCTATACCAGCGTAAAAAGCGCTGGTACGAAAAAAATAAAAAAGTGAAATAATGTTAAAGCGCCAATTTTACCCGCATTAAATTTCACATTATTAGCCCTATACCAGCGCTCCAACTAAGAGCACTAGTGTTAGTTCACCTATACCAGCGCTTTTTAAAAGAGCGCTGGTATAATTGCACCTATACCAGCGCTCTTTTAAAAAGTGCTGCTATGATTACACCTATACCAGCGCTTTATAAAAAAGCGCTGGTACAATTGCACCTATATCAGCGCTCTTTAAAAGAGCGTTGGTAAAACCCTAATATGGTGTAGTGTCCGGGGCATGTGCCACTTTTGGGGCATGTGCCACTTCCGGGGCATGCATATCTTATGGGGCTATTTGCTTATAAAATTTAGATTGATCAATCATTTTTGTTGTTCCTTTTACAAGTGTGACCTCTTTAGGAGCGCCAATTTCTTTATTTGATTTCTCTTGTGCTTTCCTCTTTCGGGGAAAAGTGTCTTTTGCACCGACTGGTCTACCACGCTTTTGGCGTGTCTTAGATGCATTTGCAATAACATTGACAGACTGTCCTACAGGGACATCAATTCTTGTTGGAATGTTTACAGCTGGTATATGTGATTTCATCACTTTCTTTGTGTCAGTGAATGCATCGGGTAATTGATTTCCAATACTTTGCAAATGAATGATCCTTTAAACTTCTAGTTCACATTGATTTGTGCGAGGATTGAAATGAGATAAAGTCGTGACATTCCAATTACTAACTCGTTGCTCTTCTGGCTTTTTCTTTTCGCCCCCTAATGGAGGGAAAACAGCCTCATCGAAATAACAGTCAGCAAACTGCGCCTTAAAAACATCACCTATCATAGGTTTAAGATATCTAATAATAGATGGAGAATCAAAACCTACATAAATACCAAGTCGTCGTTGAGGACCCATTTTGGTGTGTTCTGGGGGTGCAATGGGAACATATATAGCGTAACCAAAAACTCGTAAGTGAGAGATATTTGGTTGTTGACCCATCACAAGTTGTAGTGGTGAAAAATTATGATATGCAGTTGGTCTAATGCGTACTAGTGATGCTGCATGTAATATCGCATGTCCCCAAGCAGAAACAGGTAGTTTAGTTCTCATAAGTAATGGTCTAGCTATTAACTGAAGACGTTTGATAAAAGATTCTTGATGAGCGCTGAAAAGTACACTTTTAAACCCCTTAAGCTTGAGTGTTTTAGGACCTTTATCTATCTTATTTACCCGTTTTAGTACTTATTTGTATTTTTGTCTATTTCAGGTCAATAATGTTAAAATGGGCTAAAAATGGATTCTTAAGGCCTTTTTGGAGTTAAACTAAGTCTTGGAGAGGATTCGGAGCAAAAGGAGGCTGATTTGGAGCAAAAAGAGGCTAGTCCTGAAAAGCTGCCAAGTGAGATTGATCGTGAGATCGATCAAAAAAGTGAGATCGATCAAAGTTGGATCGATAGAACTTTTCTCTGATCGATCCAATTTTTCTGATCGATCCAACTTTTCTCTGATCGATCGAACATTGCTTGTAGCGAACTGTCTTATTCCCGTGCGCGCCCAAAAGTCCACCAACCACATAGTACGGGATTAGATATTTTTATAGCAATATTCCTGACTTAGTGACTAAGAAAAGGACCTTGTATATAAAGGGAAGTAACCCATTTGTAAAAGAGCTTTTTATCTTTTTATTTTTACATTGTATTTTTTATTTTCTCTCTCTAGCAAAATTAGAGATTAGGGTTAGAAGAAAAGGGGGAAGTGGAGGCACATCTCAAGATCCATCTCTAGACCACTCTCTCTCTCTCCATCTCTAGAGCTTCAAAAAAGAAGAAGAAGAAGAGGAAGAAGAAGATGGAGCCATAGTTGGAGCTTGATTTCATGACCACATCTACCTCCTCCATGATTGGCTAGATCTACACTTAGGGCTTGGATGAGCCTTAAGTCTTGTGTAATCTAAACCCTTGTATTTCTATTTTTGGGGATTTATATATATTGTTGTGATTAGTGTTCTAGCCTTGTGAATTTCATAAATCTTGGTATAATTCTATGATTTCTATGGTTTAATTCTTCCTATTAATTCTCTAGTTTAATTACATGTCTATGTGTGATTAAATTAGGAATTATTTCTTACATGATTCATATGGATTAATTCTTTCTATTGATTCTCTATTTGATTACATGTTGTCTTATGTGTGATTATTTAGGAATTAATCTCTACACTAGTTTTTCTACATTAATTGCATGTTTATGTGTGGTTGATTGAAAATCTAGTGATGGCTAAGTATGGGTTTTTTATTGAATGGGTTTGTCAATTAATTAGATGGTCTATACTTATGCTTGATAGGTTGTTCTACAATTTAATTCATGCTTGTTGGTAGGTAGACAATCTATGATTGCTTAGATATTCCATGGCTTATTATTGCAAATTCAATGATTCTCTAGATTGATGTGTGCTATAATTGTTGCTACCTAGATGGGTCATGTTTAAACTAGATGGGTTGTGCTACAATTAGTTTAGGTAAGACAATTCATGCTTAAATTAGATGGTCCATGCTTAATATTGCAATTGGTAGTCGCATTTTGTTCACAACAATGTATTCCCCATTAATGGAAAACAAGTGGTTAATTACATGAGCTTAGTGGTAATTCCAACACCCTAAGTCCTCTCTTCAAATCTCTTAAATCCCTATCTCTACTTAGTTTATTTTAATTATATTTTCATTAATTGAAGTAGTTTAATCAAACAATCAATATCTCTTTGCAATCTTGTGATACGCTAGAATTGAATTTAAATTCCAACATGTATAATCTCTTGGGACGATCCCTTCTCACTCATACTACATAGTATAGGTGTTAAGCGGTTTATAAATTTAAAGTATGATGCCCACTTGACACTAATTTCCAAACTCAAAGTGTTGTGCATTATTTTGTGCACACGCTCGGGTAGTCATCATAATTTTGGTGCCGTTGCCGGGGATTAACGGTTTTGTTGGAATTAAATTAGACAATAGTGTTCATTTGATTGCTTCTATTTTTATTTTATTTTTCATTGTATATTCTTTTCTCTTGTTCTCATTATTATTTGTTCAATTAGGTACTTGACTACAAGGAAGGCAAATTTTGGAACTTGAAGCAATAATTGGAGCTTAAAGCTAATATTAAAATTTGAAGTTGCTTAAGGACCGTTGTGAGCAATTCTTGGAACTCTTGTATTTTAATTGTTTCACTTCTTTGAATGCTTGTGATAGCCCTTGTTGAGGCTTAATATATTGCTTTATCTTTGTCCAAGCATAGGCCCTTGTTGAGGCCAATATTTTCTTGCATTTGGATTTTAATTGTGAATGGAGGAATTGTTTGATCCAAGTTTGGGGGGAAATTATATCCCTTCACCTTATGCTCCTCTATCATATTTTAATCCTTATGAGATTGAGTCAAATTCATTTCAACATGCATCATCTTATCATGGACTTGATCACTCATTTAATCCTTCTTATGACTATTGCCCTCCACCACAATTTTATGAAGAACCAATTCCACCACCTTCTAGGTACTCACCCGGATTTGAAGAAAAATTGTTAGCTTTACTTGATGTGCATATTTCACAAACTCCACTTATTAATTCTCATTCTCAAACTTTAGCCAAGTTTGAAGCTCAAGTTGAGCAAATTGCAAGTACTCTTTCTCGTTAAGAGGAGAAGGAAGAGGCAAATGAAAAAATGGCAGGAACTCCAATGTATATAGATGAGGATGATGAGAGTGAAGAGGATGAAACAAGTGAGCTAATGCCTAGCACTCTATCTTGTATAGAGGAGGAAGTGGCAAGTGAGTTAGTGGCTAATCCAATCGAGCATAATATGATTAATGAGGATTTTCCTTCTTTTGATTATGATTTTATCTATGACCTTGCTACTTTAGAGAGTGAGGAGATGTTGACCACACTTGAGGTAGGGGAGAAGGAGGAAGAACTTGTTGAAGAGGGCCTTCCTTCTATTATCTCCAATGACCCTCTTGAGGAATGTCTTTTTGAAATGTATAAAAATTGTGGTTTTGACCTTAAAAGCTCTAAAAATGAAATAAACTCTCTAATGAACTCCTTAGCTAACTTAGAAGGTGAGGAGATGGTTATTTTTTAGGAAGAGAAGAGGGATGAAGAGAAGGTGTTTCTTGATATTCCAAATGAGTCTTTGAAAGACTTTCCCTTGCCAAGTGCAAGACCGCTCATCATTGATTTTATTTTCAAGACCGTGGATGAAAGGAACAATGTCATCTCTTTCATTCTTTTCAAGTCATTCTTTTGGAGGATGATTTCATTGTCATATGTGGGACATTAAATGAGAAAAGTGAAAAGAGGATCAATAAGGATGTTTCATATCCGGTTTTTGATTCTTTTTATTAGTGAGTTGACCCAACGTCTTGCTAGAGACGTTAAACACTAGTATTCGTAGAGTTTCACAACTCTATTCCTCCCTCATTTCTATTTTAAATTTCATTTCTTGCGAAGCCTAGATATTTGTTTAGGGTTTACATGCATTGAAAGGAACTTTGGTGAGGAATGCATGAGCTTTCATGTCATTATTGAGTATTCTACAGAGTTTGATCGATCCAACTTCCAAGTTTGATCGATCCAACTTCCAAGTTCGATCGATCGAACTCCATTCTACATCTAACACTTAGAAAATTTTTCAACCTGTAGGAACCTGCATCCAAATCAGCTCTCGGTCCCATCGTTCGAACTAACTCTTTGATCGATCATGAGGTTTTCGATCGATCCAACTTCCAAGTTCGATCGATCGAACTCCATTCATGATTGA